ATGCAACTAACATGAAGTATCTCGGCTTTTTTAACTAAGCAGCAATGATATGGGGGGTAAGAGCTAATAAGAGCATTGCAGAGAGTTGACAGAAATCAACATTTTTAATATTTTTTAAAATTAAAGTGCCTTTGTAGAAAAGTGGCATCTCAAATAATCTTAAAGAAATTTTATAAAAAGACATAGTGTTAAATTAGAAAAATACATGGGATTTGAAATACATGCAGATTTTGGAACAGAAACAAGATTAGAGGCCTCAGGCAACAGGAATTGGAGATGTCATACAGTATTAATTCATGGAAGAAGCCACTAATTCACAAGCCACAAACCCCAAAAGGAAAAAGCAGTCAATTTCTTGGCTAGGAGAAAGTTTCTAACTTATCTTTTTGATAAACAATCCAAAAAAGGCAGTATATGGATTCTACAAATGAAAAGTCATTTACTGGGTAGGAAAAAAAATAAGTAAATAATAATTAAAGTGTCAGGAACTTGTTACCCAGAGCACAGCTCTCATATCAGAGCAAGAATTACAAAAATGAACAGGGAAACCCTCCATTCTCAATTAAAAGAATTTTGGGGGTAATGTAAGTTTTGGAGAAATCAATTGACTATGACACAGCTTGCTCTAATATTACAGAATAGCAGGAAGAGAAGGTGTGAGGAGAAGCACACAGACAAGGAAGCTCTGTTTCTCTGAATTGTGGGAATTCAGATTGAAAAGCCCCAACCTTCCTTGCCCACCTTTGCTGATGGCAATTTTTCCAAGGAAACACCAGAAGTTCATTCTCAGTGATGCCACTACCCCATCCCTGAGTAGAAAAATATAATGGGGAGGGGGAAAATAGGTGCCATCAATACTCAGAGCAGGTTTTATGCTGGGGAGAGGGAATTATTCCCTTACAAAAGTCTGTCCCATCCTCAAGGAAGGGTTTTGCATGCTGGATTCATTTTTTCCCCACAACTGACTTAGCGATTTGTGAACAAATTTTACAAGATGTCTAAAAGATTTTGAAAAACTCCAAGTTAGTAAAACTACTGATCAACCTACTCTCCTGAGCAAGAGATAGGTACTAGAGGGAGACCCAGAGCCATTTTCACACATCCTGCAGGAAAGAGTGTAAGAGCCACCAGCACACGCACACTCACTTCTGAGATTCCAGCACTGTTGACTTTTTAGTCTCAACTTTTTACATACAATCAAAAGCCACCTTGCTGACCATAACTGTTTCTGTTTGCACTTACAGCTTACTCAGTGGGCAAATCAAACCTGGTAACTTCATGTGCTGCATTCTAACGTGGAACGATACATTCCAGTAAGAAGCCTGACATGCTGTGCTGTCTTGAATTCTTGGTTTTAATTTAGAAGTTTACCATAATAAATATAAAAGATACACTTTTCTAAATAAAAGCTTCCACAACAGAAAGATTCAACAGAAGATTCCCTGGGCTTGTAGATCAGGCAGCCTCTCATGAGAGCAGCAGAACCAGGGAGCACTCCCTTTGACATGCAATCATATGAGCCATTTTCTTTCTCTGATTTGTTAATGATGTAAAAGGTGCTTTGCACAGTTTACTACACTAACAAGAAATACTGGCAAAATAAATAATTTCTACCAGTTCTGTGCTTTAGCAACTAGAAACAAGGCCTAACTAGCAGGGTGTAACCAACCCATTCTCCACAGATTAACAGCAAACCCTCTATGTTTTAACAAATGTACCGATTTATGTAGCCTGTTCTTTTCAGATTATTTCTAAACATAAAGGATGTAAAACAAAGAAAATTCACAAAGCTGAACAATGGGATAATAAGCCTATGAACAACTAGGCAACTTAGAAGTGAATCCATGAGAGGAGAGCACTTTGTCACCCTAAATGCATTGATCTAAAGAGCCAACTCTTTTTAACACTGAGTATTCTATTTACACCACTTCACAGACATGGCTTAAGGCACTTTATTCAAACGTAGTGGCTCTCCCTTTTCTGTTGAAATGAATAAGACATTTAAGAAACATTACTTTCTTAAGTATTTCTACAGGTATGTGCAGCTACATTTTTATGCAGCATATTTTCTTACAAGGTGCCCAAGGTGACCACTATACTCTATCAGCTAGTACCAAAATAATAACATATCTTCCAGTTGCAAGGCTCAATGTCAAATACCATACAAACTTAAAAGGCAAACCATTCTCCAGGTAGTAAAAAGCCACAGATAGCTTTAAGAAGTTACTAATTCAAGCACCTCTCCTTAATGTAGTGTGAAACTCGCTTCCGAAATCCAATCAACAGATTTTGCATTTACTGTAATTGTGACAGAAGTCAACGGCCTTAAAATGTTTTCACCTCTCAAAAGTGGCAAAGGTTCAAGCAAAAATGTCTGTTTAAGCAAAATCTTTCCTCCATAGTAACTAACCCAAATCTGTTACCCTCCAAAACAAACACACAAGTCTTCAGCAATTTCAAGAGCTGCTTAACAGGAAGAAATTCACACTCTTGACACAGAAGCACCACATCTGACATAGTAGCTTAAAAAAATATTCAAACATAGATATGCCCAAAACAAAAAACAAGACAGCTCATTCTTTCAACTGGGAAGACTCAAACTTAGTAACAGGTTTAGCCATATATTCCTGAATTTTGATCTAAATCAACATATTGATGCTTGAATTAAAGAGAACGTGACATCCTGTCTCCATAGGGGAAACAATTTTGAACATCTATCAGAATAGAATTACACCAACTTTAACTGGTTTTAAAAACTGTCCTTCATTTGTCAGGCTTATGTACACTACAAAAGACTTATCTGACACAAAACAGTCATCTCAGCCAATGATCTCCCTTTTACATGCCACAGAAGAAAACATCTGTGATTTTCTATACTGCCACAAAAATAAATAGAGAAGGTGGCAAAAGCATTACACTCGATACACACCAAGTCATATAGTACCACAGAATGGGCTTTGTGGTGTGAAAGTGTTAATTGCTGCTTTTAATTACACACAACTAACTTTAATGGGCGTGAACACTGCAGCAACATCTATAAACACCAATGTCCACATTAGCAAAACACCAGTTATGAAACCCCTGCCAACACTACTGGTACAAGGATTGCTGTTTGTTTGTTTGAATGAAATTTTACCGAGTTCTGCCATATCTGCAGAGCTCTGCAAAAAACCTGTAAGACTGAGGAGCTTTAAATAATATAACATGCAATAGTAACCATGACGATAAGCAAAATGCTTTTGCTAATCTTTTTCTTTCAGCTGACGATACTTTCAAATACTGGTGTTTTTCCACTGCATGACAACTTTTGTTTGTTGCTCACTACGAATTCTAGACCCCCCCTATCCTTGTAAACCTGAAAATTTTGACCAAGGGAGCAGCAATTTGGGGTGCCCTGGTAACATGGGATGAATCCATACTGTGGTAGGATGTACATCACCTGTTGGCAACCACGTCCTACTTCACTGTTACACTGAATAGGTGCATGAAAATTACATTTTTAAGGTAATTATTCTGCAAATAAATGGGGAATCTAAAAAAAACCAAAAAAACCAACAAACAACAGAAAGGCAGAATGCAGATAGTGAGATTACAAAACTGCTGAGGTAGGTTAGAATTTGGCTCCAGGAAGACTGATCATAAACTTTAAGAAAACAGCCTGGAACTCCTCTGCACTGATTTTGTCTTGGTTTTATATTAAGTTGGAGTTTTAAGCAATAAAAAATAAAAAGAAATAAAGATTCTTCAGAGATTTATCTTTGCTCTCTACTATATCTCCAACAAGCTTGCTCACCAAATGGGACAATGCTTTCAAAAGATGTATGGGATAAGGATCTGAAGTCAGATATTGAAAAGTGACTAAAGGGACGATTTTCAAAGGCATTAAGATACCTAAAGATGCATTAAGCACTTAAAATTTTCAAAACTGCCTAGGCATCTAACGCCTATTTAAATCACTTAGTCCTTTTTGAAAATCCCAATGGGCAGTTATCTACATTTTATGTGTCTATATGCCTTTGAAAATCTGTACCATTAAATACTTAACAACCTAGGTCCCTCTGGCTTTTAATGGGACTTTGAGTCCTAAAAAGTGTAAGTACATCTGAAAATTGGTCAAGCCACTCTCTCTGGTCTTTTTTTTTTTCCCTTTCTTTTAAAGAGGCATCTCCTAATGCTTATCCATAGCATGTCAGTTAAGCAGAGCTTCAGCACTGTCCAACTTACACACTGTACTGTGCACATTTGATTTGTTTTATGGAGCTAAACAAATAAAAAACCAGAGTACAGACTGCATCCTCAAAAAACACTTCCTGAAGCTCCTAAAAAGAAATGAAATTCCAATCTGTAACCCCAGTCAACAGCCCCAAAAAAACCCACATTTTCAATAAACACGACCCCAAATGAATATAACTTAGGCTGATAAAGAATCAACATCATTGTTTAATACCCATGCAACATATTCAAAATACCACAAGAAAGTTCTGAAAATCAGCCACACTGCAACAAGGAGAAAACAGAAAAATGAGGAAGTTGTGAATAGGCTCTTTAAAAAGGCAGCAGTTCCAGAAAAGAAGACAAGTTTTAATTCTGAATTTTCTTTTTTTAAAAAATCTGTATGAAACCATAAAGCATTCCATTATGCAAACATTTGAAAGATGTATCTTCTGATCTTCCATAATATCAATAGGAGATAACTTGCACTGACCAAGTTCCCAAAAAGGAACTGATTTGTAAATTGGGAACGCAGGGAATCAGATTGCCACCTACAGGAAAATTTAGCATTTATTGTCAAGAATGACTCAAAAAGAATACAAATTGCCATCCTGCCAAGCATTCTTTCACTTCAAAACCAATTACTCTTTTCTTTTGTACAACTATATAATGAGCTTCCCAAATCCAGGAAGCTGGTATCATTTCTTTTTATTTATGAGTACTGCTCGAAAGTTCCAAAACTCAATTACAAAATCATGTGTCAGTTAAAGAATTTTAAGTCTGCTTACCTGATACAATTGGTGCTAGTCTGAATATGTCTGATAGTCTGCTGTTAACTGGCTCATAAGGGGAATCTTCAAGCAAGTCATTCCCTAAGGACAAAAAATATTTGGATTTGTTTTCTTACACAAGAATTCATTATAAGATTTGTTTACTTTTACTCCATAACAGTGAACTGTACTCCCCTTTAATCCCTTAAAAAAGTTTATATGGCTACTTCTTCTCAATGAATTACCTACAAAAACATCTGAAAGAAGCTAATTGTTTATTCCTGCCACTAGATCTCTTCTCCTTCCTTGGGTAAGGTCACAATTTGCGGAGACAGCCTGTGACATCACAGGGACTGTCCCATCTCCTGCCAGCAGGAGAGAAGGATGTTCCTCTTCATTCACCATAATAACAGAGCTCATTTTTAGAGAAGCTCAACTAACAGCCAAAAACTGGCATCTTTAGTATGAAACATTCCTAACAAGGTGCTGTTGGAAGAGATACTTTTTATGATGCAGAAAATGTCTGTTATTACGGTTAGCAAAAAAATACGTATGGACTCGTTAAAACATAAGGATAAATAAACAGAAAGGGATTATTTCCCTTTTTGCAGAAGCAACTTAAAAAAAAAAAGTTAAATGGACAGCACACTGAAGTCAGAGATTGCACCTTCAACTCCAGGGCCACAGCAAAACAGGACTAAAAATGATATCTCTCATATGAGAACCTGACTGTTCTCAGTAGGCTAAGAGAAATCTATCTATGAATATGGATGACAGAGGATTCCTGAATCAATCACTGTCATATCTCTTCTAAGTGACATACCTACATGCCGTAGGAACCATAAACTTTGGGTTTTTTTCTGCCTCAGCATGCCCAGGGAATACTGCTAGTAAATACAGGAAAGGAAAGAATAAACTTTTACTTAAAACAATCTTCTCTTCATATTATATTTAACTTTCGGCAAAAAGGCTAAGAAGCTAGTTCCAGTGTCCTGTGATCTCGTTAGGCGAGTCCTATGTAAGGAGTTTTAATATTATTAGGAAAATATCTCCAAAGGCCCGTTTTTGTGGCTGTCTCCCATGCTCGTGCCCCTATGTTTTGAGTGTGGTTAGGACAGGTCAGCTGTGACCCCCGAAGGGAGCCGCGGCTCCCGGGGCCGGGAGCGGAGCCGCAGCTGCGCAGGGCGGGCGGGGGCTCCTGGGGCGGCACACGGAGCTGGGGCTCCCGCACCCTGCGCTCGGCGTTCTGCGCTTCGCCACGTACCCTGCAAGCTCTGGTACATGCTCCAGTAAATGCGCAGGCAGTTCTTCTCCTTCTTCATGCCCCTCTTGCAGCGGCAGTTGTACAGGGATTTCTGCTTGAGAGCTTCCATGGCGCTTCTGCATTCGTCCTTCGCCTCCAGGCCCGTGGCCCGGCTGAAGTTGCTCTCTTTGCCGGCTACACACTGCCTCAGTGTCCTGAATTTAGTACTACAGCTCTGCTCCTTCAGACACTGATCGCTGGCTTTCACGCAGTCCAGGCGGTCCCCTCCAGGCAGCGAACTCACTTCTGCAGACAAAAGTACATCTATGGAGAGGAGACACAAACCAACACGCGCTCTCTGGGGGAGGAGGGCGGCTTCAAGCCGAGCTCCAGAGAAGCGTCTGGGAAGCACGGGGCACCTCCTGGCGCCGCACATGCAGCCAGCCCCAGGGGCAGCATCTCGCAAACCTCCTGGCTTCATGCTACGCTTTAGGAAAAAGCACATAGGGTTCCCATGGGCTTAGATCCACTTTCGGGGGAGTCCAAGGAAACAGTATTTTTTAACCCTGATGGCTGATTTATGAGGAAAGACAAAAAGGAAAGAAAATCCAGAGGGGTTAATGTGCCTGACAAAACGAGCATTTGTTATTCCATATACCATTAACCACTTTGGTGAAAAACATCAGTTTTCCATTCCAGGGTTTAACTGAAGGGTTAAATATTAAGCCTTACTTTCCACAAGAGCTTTGCTGTAATTTCACTTCCATCCAGGAACAACCCGCTCAGAGAGATAAGTATCCTCACTGATTGATACTAGCTTATCTTTGCGTCAGTCACTTTTTAAAACCTGCACACATTTCTGCTTATTCTATACCTATAAAGGTAGAATTTGCTACTTCCCCCCCTCCCCACTTCTCTCCACGTATGATGCTTTTGCAGGAGAACAAAGCAAATTGCATTAACTCTCTCCTCTCCATCGTGCCCCCGTCACGCTCCCTCAGACACATGCGGATGGAAACGCAAACCTCTTCTGTGGAAAGGAAACCAGTTTGGGCTGCAAACCACTACCAGTCGGGCACGCTGCCAGGTTTAGGTGAAGATGTAATCCTTCAGCTGGTCTTGTCATCCCCCACGCTCCCCAGGCAGCCTTATTTTATTTAAATGAAAAGTTTCCCTGTAACTTGCGAGAACCCAATTTAACAAGAGGCTAGACAGGCAAGTAGCGGAGTCTGTAACCTGACAGAGCTTTAAACGTAGACCAGGCTAACCGATGTGAGGCAGAGCCATAAAAACTACTGGAAACTTCACTGTTCTGCCTAAACAATAGACTGACAACCATCAGGCTGCCGGTCCCATAAACCCTATTCTTTGCTTTATGAAGCGATGTGCAGACCGAAACCAGGCACCGGCAACTTACCCACTAAGGGCAAAGCGAAGTACAAGAGAACGAGAAACATCTTGCTGTCTTCGGATGGTTTCCCCAAACGACTTGATGTGTCACAACAAAGATGATCAGCGTGTAGATATTCCAATACCGCCGAGGTCTAAAGGCTCCAAGTTCAGATCCATTGAATTCAAGGGGGCCAAAAAAAAAAAGCCACCGAGCAAAAAAAAACCACAACCCTCTCTCCTCTTCACCGCTACCACCACCGGCGGCAGGAGCAGCGACGCAAACGCTGAGCTTTTCCCTTAGATTTCAGGTCTGAGCAACCTGCAGGCACAAGCACTGACTCCAGTGCGGGAGCGAGAGGCGCACGCACGGGTGTGTGTGTGTGTGTGTGTGTCTGTGTCTGTGTGTGTGTGTGTGTGTATGTGTGTGTGTGTGTGTGTGTGTGCGTGTGTGCAAGAGCGAGCGGCAGCGGGGCAGGAGCGCCGGTCGCCTCCTTGGGTGGGCAGCGCCTGTTCCCAGGGAGGGATCGAGAGCGCACGGGGGGCGGGAGGGGGGTGCACACACGAGACCCGCAGCCGGGGCCAGCCGCTGGCAGCCCCGCTGGCAGCCCCGAGCCGCGGCTCCCCGAGCCCCCCCGGGGCAATTCGCCTCTTCCAGCCCCCCGACCTGAACTTTATTGAGGCGGCGGGGCCGGGGCGGTGCGCGGGGCCGCGCAGGCTGCGCGGAGCGCTCGCCGCCGGGGCGGAGCGGAGCGGGGGTGGCCGCGCGTGCGGCGCTGCCGGCGGCCAAAGTTTGCCGGGGAGAACTGGGACGGGCGGGGGGCGCGGCCGCTCCGGTTCCGCCGAGGGGAGCGGAGCCCCCGCGGCCCCGAGAGCGGCCCCGCGGGGATGCCCCGCTCCCCGCCCGCTCTCCGCGGGGCTCTGCGGCCGCGGCCTCCCCCTGCCGGCCCCGCCGCCCGCAGGGGAAGCCCGGGGGGTCCCGCAGCGGCCCCGGGGAGCACCGCCCGTCCTTCCCCGCAGCGGCCCCGGGGAGCACCGCCCGTCCTTCCCCGCAGCCTCCGCGGGACCGGCGGGCCCCGCATCCCTGCAGTGCGCGGTGCGGTCCAGCCCTCGGCCGGGGCCGAGCGCAGTGTATCGGCTTCTACTTGGCTCCTGAATAAACAAAGCGAGCATATGTCCCATATTCGTGGCAGATGGTTCAAACAGCGAACTATTTAGTGGTTTTCCCACAGTTGCTACTATGTACCGCTCCCCTGAAACCCAACAAAATGCAATTAGCCTAAAATAGCGTCAGCTTCCAGGTTTCCTTATTTTCATATGTGCAAAATTTGATTCAGGTGTTTTTATGTTCTGGCTGCAACCAAATGTGTTGTTTTGGGTTTATTTTTTTCTGTTTTTAAGAGAAGCCAGCATATATGTTCATTGGCAGTTTTGTCAACAAGCTATTTGGACCATTTGACTCAAGGAATTTGCTTCTCCTTGCAATAAATTTTGCCTAAAGGAGTTTGAGTCGCCTTATGAGATGGGAGATGATCAGGCTGGCCACTTTTATAGCAAAAACTGGATGGCAGATGGAGCTAAACTGTTGTAAGGTACTTCAAACACTTATTTAAAAGCTTAGCATATGCCAGCATATACAGAGAGTACAACATTCATAGAACCCAAATGGAAAGGGCTTATTTTTGTTTGCTTTGCTGTTCAGGTTTTTGTTTGGTTTTTTTTCCCCTCTGTTGCCACTTTTTCTTAACAGATGGATTTGCATTTCTACCTAAAAAAAGAACCCCAAAACCCGTGACCCACAACAAAACTAAACATAATCCATCAGAACACGAAAAAAAAACATGTAAAGTACTGGCTGACTCAGTGAAATTGCAATATTGATATCAAGTTGCAACTGATTAAGTCACAAGTTTTGTGGTTTGGTTGTTTAATGTGAAGAGGCATATACTATTATATGGTCACGAAGTCTATTATGTGCTGCAATTGGAGGAGCAAAGACAATGACCAGATTTCTGGAGTATTTCAGGATAATTAGAAGGTGCTAAATTGGTGATATCATTGACGATTCAAGACAGCTTCAGCTTTTCAAACAGCTGGTATTTAATGAAACTCCTTGGTCTTCCAAACACTTCAATAGAAATCGAGCTGGGTGATACAGAGAGATGATTACTTCTTCACTGGTAATTTTGACATCATTAGGGCACACGATAAGCTCTGTATAGAAGTTATCTGTGTATCTAACACAAAGGTAGCATAATTTTCCTGTCATTTAGAAGCCTAAGTCAAGAATAGCTACAACATTCACAGCAGAGGATAGCAACTGAAGATCAGACTGAAATCCAGGCCACTTTTTACAGAACCGTTCATGCATTAATGTCCTGAATACATACATACACACATGCACATACACACAAGTTGACATTTTAAAAAGTGACACATTGTAAGTCTCTACATTAGTAACTACTTTTGCTGTTATAAAACACAGCTTTTGTGGGGTGTTTACTGTTACAGTAAAACTGAAATTGCATTTTAAGTGTTAAAAGTTTAATAAAATGTTGCTAACAGTTCAGAAATAACAAAACAGCTGGAAAATATGCATCCAAAAATTCTGAATACTATCTAAACACTCCTCTTGCCAGTAGTTTGACTCATCTCTGGAAAACTACCACCCAAAATGAAAAAAGGGTAAAAGGTTTTAGTAAAAAAAACCAAACAAACCAAGTTTAAAATGCAACCATGTTTGAAAGCCAAGATCCAAGAAGAAAGTCCATGCTACATACAGTTGCCCAGAATATCAAGCTGCTACACACTCTTTACCAGGACAGTAGGTGGGAGACAGCTCCTTACGAACCACAAGGACATTTTTCCATAGAAGAAATTACCTTTTTTTCTTCTTATTCTTCTTTTTCATAGATGGAATTATTTATAAATTTCTGTTGCAGACAAAACCCCATAAGCTACTCCGTTACTGGAGTCATAATCCTTTGGGTCTTTGCACAGTGTTTTCAAAATGCCTTTTACTTGCCCTGGGGTAAAATTAAGTCATTGAATGTTTTGCTGTTGATTTCAGTCAAACCAAGGTCTGCCTTACAATTTGTATCTGTCAGTAACTCAACTCACGAGTCTCTTCAGATAAAAGAAAAATGAAAGCATATGCCACAAAGAAGTAGTTAGTGCAAATATTTTAAAGATATTTAAGCTTTTAAAAATATTCTGCTGGTCAAGTTTTATAAAAAAGTTTCAGATCAATTAATATAACAGCATATATAAGGTGCAGCTGGTAAGGACGAACACTTCATTATAGGAAGGATGACAACACAATCACCACTGGATTATTGTATAAAGGCCATTACAGTGTAAATAATGTGGAAAGCTGCTTGCTGCCAGCATTAACTACCAGTACTTCAGTCTTTAGGTAGTTGTAGTTACTGGTTTCTTTCAGGTTGGAAGTTGTTATACAGTAGCTGGTTTTCTTCCATTGGAAACTTTTCACAAAGGAAAGATGAAGTAATGTGGATAGTGGGGTTATTTCACACTAAAACATCAGTAAAATTAGTGCTTCAAACCCTTTTGTTTCCAAGTAGGTTGAGGTAAGTGCAACCCCTAACACTGGGCGGTTTTAAGCTTCCTGTCACCTTGCAGCCTGGGCCCAAATGCTCTGAATGCAGCTACAGCATCAAGAGGCAGCAGCCTTTATCCATCCAGGCCATCTGCTCCTGGAGGCCAGGCATACACAGTGAACAAAATCAGAACTTTGCTGTGTTCAGTCCTACTAATGTCCTTCTGCCTCCTCCTCTGCATGTAAACTAATGACGGCAAACTCTTAGGAGGTGTCAGGTTCTGAGATGCCTCCCTCAAAGGCATTGCATGTTGTTTTGCAGCCAGTTCCACTTGCAGAGGATGAGGTGTTGGAGTTGGTCTGGCTGGTAGCCGCTCGGATGACAACGTACCCCTGAGCTGACAAGGAGGCTGAATTAATCCATTGCCTGGCCCAGGGTTAGCCTGCAGATTCCCTTTGCTATCTCTGCCACAGACCTCCTTTTAAAGACTGAACCCTGCAAGAAAATATTGAAGTTGGAGCCACTGAGCCTTGAGAACATTACACAGTATTATCTGCAGTGCCGCTAGGTATGTGAAGAGAAAGTATACTGAGAATAAGAACAGTGCCATGAACTTTAAATACAATTCTTAGTGGAGTGAAGAGGTGAAGCAAAGCTAAAGCTGAACTAATGAGTCAGATCTACCAGGTGGGGGAGAGCAGGCAAGTGATGGGAAAAAGTCTGTGTGCCACGGGAGCACAAAAAGTAGTGTTTACACAGGAGGCTTTCTTCAATAATGAGAAAGGGAGAATAGAGAAGTTAGAGAATTACTAGGGACTGGGGGAACAGTCTGAACTGCATTTTTTGTCTTACATTTATCTGCTTACCATGAAGTCAAAGTGCCTTTTGGTGGGAATAAGGCAAGAAGGATTTGCTCAAGGCATTAAAGTTTTGTAAAGGGCAGATTAAATAACAGCGCTCCAAAAATCAATTTTGAGGGGCTTATGAAGCCTTGAATGGGCTTCTGCAGCACAAAAGCAAGATTGAGTTTTTACTGAACCTGTCATTTATTTGGGTTTAGAGCTTTCAGTAAGTATCAGAAAAAACATAAAACAAAAGCAAAGTAAGCAATGAGCATTCACACAGCAATCAAATAAAAAACATGTGGAGGTGCAATCCAGATTACTAAGTGACTTAATTGATGCCAACGTATAAGAAAAGAAAGTCACCGTTTCACTTCTGCCACCACCCACCCCCTCTCCCTGTGCTTTAATCAGACCTGGTAGTGAATTCCCACAGAGCTTCTTGGCCAGGAAGTTTTTCCTAAACTTTTGTGTCCCTATCCTCACCAGAGGTTGTGCTGTTATACTGTCAAGCCACCTGGAAGGAAGAAAGAAAAAGAAGAAAAGAAAGAAAAAAAAATAATAAAAAAAAAAGGTAACGCTACAAAATTCAGTAGAATAGATACAGAAACACCAAAAGAGTGCAGTGCAAGTCAGAGTTTTTAATTAAGAAACAACATACTGGTTACCCCTAAAAGCATGGAAATGCTGATGGAACTGCGGCTACTTGTGAAGGTGTGTATCCTATGGAAATTATTCCGTTTAACTTTAAATAGTGATAGAAAGGCACAGACTGATATTTGCCCAAACTGGTAAGAAAAGGGTTGTTAGGAGAGGCCAATCCCTGGATTTAGGGCTTTTTGCTTTAAAAATGGGATAACGCCGCCCCCTAGCCGCTGGTAGGGACAGTGCAGGCTAACGTGGGAAGGGATTCCTGCCTCTGCAGAAGAGAAGGCGCAGAATTC